TGGTTCTTGTCTACCTCAGCAATGAAACTTCTCTTGATTAGCTAGGAACAGCTGAGAAACGCCAAAATACAAGTTCAAAACAATGTCAGAAATGCATGTTAACTCCTCGCTTCTTCATACCTTAGAAGTTAGATGCCAGAGAAATCGATATGGATATTAAAGGCAAAGAAACCGCAAAGTTGTGACAAAGTTCATTTCCAAAATGTTTAGCTCAAAGGACTAGAGTTCAGAAAACCATTAACACAACCAATATTAGTAGTATTTGTTTTACGATGAAGCCTAACAGGGAAACATTGTAAATTTACATAGCGAATCCTAAACAGTTGTGACCATCACTTTAGTTGAATTCCGAAAAGTTCAGTCCCAGCAGAGAGAATAAAAGTTACGATCTTGTAAAAAGTTATGAATAACCAAGCTGAGCGGATGTCGGGAGCTACGTGTCAACAATTTGTGGCTCTTCTTCATCGCCTATTTCGATCAAGTATTCAATTATTGAATGAATCAGCAATTCAAAAACGAAAGTTAAATGAAATAAACAAACTATAAGCATCAGTCGAAAGAATCTTCATATGCATTCCAACCAAAAACTTAAAATCGAGGCAGTAAAGTAAGAAATCGACATTACTAGAAGAGCTCATTGAAACAAAATATTGTGCCATGCCGATCATAATTTTTTGGAAAGCTAATTTGGTCTAACCTTCTCCCTTTCCCTGTTAGCTACCTTGTTATTTTCAGTAGTGATCTTCCTCTTCTGTAGAATCCCACCTTGAATTCATCTGCTTCCTCAATTATTTGAACCAACAACTCCTTTTCTCTCTTCTCCTTCTCCTCGAGATGAATCGCATTCTGCCTGAATGTCACAAAAGCTTGGATTATTATAACTCCATTACAACCTCACAGAATTCAACCATTTATTTCTCCCACCACCTTCAATGCAAACATAAAATCACTTTCTGATAGTCAATAACTACAATTTGACAACAATCACGAATTTTTTTTGGATTCGAATTCAGCTCCGCAATCTTATACGAACAATCGGCACGTTAAATTCATAAACATTTTAACAAGTTTTGTATTTTTTTAGATAAACAATCAATTTAACAATTTGTTATCAGAAAGACGATTACTGATCACTAAGCATGCAATTCTTGAAAACTACCGAAATCAAAACAACAACTTCCACTCAATTTCTCAGCAACAGAAAGATCAAAACCAAAATCAAAACCAACAACTTTCAACTAAATTGCACAATATAGTTCCCTAAGCAAGCTTGCTTATTTTTCAACTCTTTAACTGATGTGTGACTTCTAACTGTAATATTTCGTATTTCTTCTTTTATGTTCTAATTATTGAATTTGAAATCACTTAATGAACTGAAATTGCCAAACCATGTTAGAGTGTAATTTTGCGCGTTCCATTTGAGTTTACAAACAACATTTACATTCATATGTATATTTTGTTCAGTGCCTATCACCTGTTTGATAAAATATACCAGAGAAACACGCACGCTCGCACACACGGTTTTCTCGGTTCTTTGTTCTCTGTTTTTAGATGTTTCTGGATTGAGAATTTCATGGGTGAAATGCCTCTGCGCATTGGGTCTAAATTGCAGGTGAGAAAACACAGAGAGCCAGCAAAGCTTCGTAGAGAGGAGGCATGAGTTTCCTATGATGGTAAGTCTATTCCTTCATTTGGGTAAAGCATCTTCATTGTGGTGCATTTGGCAAAACTCGAGACCCTTTTATGCGTTTTTTGTTTTGATTGGTTTGTTGGATGTCAGCATGCGGGACGCTTGAGTTTGAGTACCTTTGCCTATGCCGATATGATTTTCACTTGAACAGTGCAATTGGAGATCCTACTTTAGGCTAAAGTAATGTCTTCAAATAGCACTATTCTAGTAACAAATCAACAATATCAATTACGGAAGTGATTTTCACTCTCTTATTAGCTTCTCACACATTCTTTATTATTATAACAAAAAAATTAAATAAATTAAACGTAAACAAGGGACATAATTTAATAGGATTGTGCATGACACTAAGGGCCGGTTTGGGATTGCTGTGCTTTTTAAAAAAAAACTGCTTCTGTTGTGCTTTAAGAATAATCAGCTGTAAAATAAAGCAGATGAACGTTTGGTTAACTGTGTTTTAAAAGTGTTGTTAGTAAGAAAAGCAATGTAAAATCATTGGTAAATTTTAATGTAACAGTAATATAATTGTATACAATGACAAAATAGATATAGTAGTAGGAGTGGGGAGACAACATCTGTGGTGGGGACAATGGTGGTAATAGTGGCAGTGGTGGTGGTGGTTGCAATGGTGGTGATGGTAGCAGGAATGGAGGTGGTGTTAATAGCAGGATGTGGTGGTTGGGGTGTAGAGGTAATAATGGTGCTAATGGCGGTGCTAACGTCGATGGTGGCATTTGTGGTTGTGGCGGCAGTGGTGGCAGTTGTGGTTATAGTGGAGGTATGGTGATGGTGCTAATAGTGGGATGTGGTGGTTGGGGTGTAAAGGTAACAATGGTGCTAGGGACGGTGGTAGTGCTAGTGGTGGCGGTTGCAGTTGTGGTGGTGGTGGCAACGACGACATTAATGATGGTAATGACAATGGCGGTAGTGGTGGTTATGGTTAGGTTATGGTGGTGGTAATGATGTTGATAGTGTAAGGTTAGCGTTTGTAATGGTAGGTCATAACGGTCACTTCATGTTCTAAGGGATAAAATATGTGTGGAAGGCAAATAATGTCATTCTAAAAATATTAATTAATGAAGATATTACAACATACAAGCTACTTTTAAAAGTTGTTGTCTAGAAGCTATTACTTTTAAAATAAGCAGCATATTTTATTTTTACCAAACATTTTTTTTACTGCTTAGCTTTAAAGTGAAGCAGTTTTTGGTAAAAAAAAGCTATACCAAACGGGGCCTAAAAATGGTGTGTATCCCTATCAACAATATCAACAGTAACATCATCGTTATTTAAGATTTATTTGTTATGAATGTAATGATACAACATAGAATCATAGACGAGACAATCTAGTCAAATTTACTTAAGATATCTTGATTCCGGGTTGAAAGCCCGGCAATTTTTTTTTCAGGGGTCACTCTTTTAAACCTTCTAACCTCTTGTACATTTTCTCATCTCCTTAATGAATATTATACTTTCATAAAAAATGAAAACAAAGAGTATTTGCTACGTCACAGATGCATCGCAATTTGCAAGAGTAATAATTGTGAGAGTAAAAAATTAGCCAATTTACCATTTGCATTACGGTAGAAAACTAGCTAGTGGAAGACTAGCTAACCTTCCACTAAGCTAGAAAACTAGCTAAGTGCAAATCTAGCTAACATTGTACTTAGGTAGAAAACTAGCTAAGTGCAAAACTAGCTAACATTCCACTAAGGTAGAAAACTAGCTAATGAGTCATAAAGTTTTACTTTCTACCTCGGCCGAACATTTCATAACTAACGTGTAAGTCACTTTCTGCTTTCTATGATAATTCTCTCTGTTTTATTTTTTTGATTCAGTTTTGTTCTTTCACTAGAGGAATTTTTTCAGTGTGCCGGAAATACGGCTCGGTACACGTGTAATAAGACAATGGTTGATTTTTTTTTTCAAGTTTCTAACCAATTGTATTAGTACACTTGGTGTACCTGACTGTCTTTCTGGCAACCTGAAAAGTTTCTCCTTTCACTTAACTTGCAAGCTTGACATTCTATATATACTAAAACCCAAACCGATGGTTACTGTTCTAGGGCAGTGTGCGGACCAAAATACCCCTCAAGTTAGTCTTCAGTAGTTACTTTTTGTCTTTTTTGTACAGTAAAATCTCGAATTTGCCCTTTCTATTCACCTGTTCCTCCATCTGTGGAGTCTTTCTTTTAGTCTTTTTTTAATTCTTTAAACCTAGTTGGTGGGCAGACAAAAAAATATTAAAAAAATGTGATTAAAACCGGGCCACGTGGTTTGTGGCACAACAAACAATAAAAATTTATACCTTCCTAATTTTTTACACCCATGTACAGCTGATGGGAAGAGCAAAAAAATATTTAAAAAATGTGATTAAGACCGGGCCACATGGTTTGTGGCACAAGAAACAATAAAAATGTATACGTTCTTAATTTTTGAATCCCAAAAAATGTATAGCCGGTGGGAAGACCAAAAAAATATTAAAAAATGTGATACACAGTGAATTTAACAGAAGGAGGCTGGAAAAGTTGGGGGAACCGGGGCCTCTCTTACCACGTGTTGGTCATCGTGAGGTTTGCTTTTCTCGCTCTATACACAGCCTGCTTTTTGTTTCGTTGTTCCGTTTCCCATACCCATTTCTGCTCTTCTATTGTTCCGTTTCCAACCTCTTCTTAGCTTTTTCTTTCCGTTCGCTTCTCTCTCTCCATTCTCACCTTCTGCTTTTTTTTCTCTTCCACGCCAGTGTTGTTCCATTAAGTTTTGTGTTTTTTTCCAGTGTATCTGATTTAATTTTTTTCGGTGGTTTTCGATTTGCAGATGGATTTTTTCTTTAAATTTTCTTTTTTTTCATTTTGGGGGTTTGATATGTATGCTTATTTGGTTTCAGGAAACGCTCATGGCCTAATTTTGGGGCTTTCATGTGCAACTTCGCAAGCTCTTTGTGTTCAAGGCGTGTATATAAAATCTACTCTTTCTTTTGGGCTTTTTGTTGAACAAAATTTAAATTTTTTTGGGGTGGTCTTCGGTTTGGCTCTATGATTTGCTTTTCTTTTCATTTCAGGAAACGTTTGTCTTTGTTTTTTGGAAATTTTGTATATGCGTTTGCAAACCATTTGTGCATCAGCTATATAATTTCAATTTTTTTTTTCGTGGTTTATGTGTGGTTCTCTGATGTGTTTTGATTTTTGATTTCAGAAAAAGTTAAGGATACGATCAACGTTTACTGGTGAGTTTTCTATTTTTCTGATTGTGTGTGATTTAATTTTTTTTCAAGCTTTGGGTGTACTTTTCTGATCTTCTTTGATTTTTAGTTGCAGCAAAAGTTGTTGGTCGAATTTCCAGTTTTTCATTGCGGCTTTGCAAGCTCTTTATCATCAAGGTATAGAATTTTTAAAGAGAGTATAATTTTAAAGAGAGTATATGTATGGATTTAGGTAGCAAGGCAAAAAATTGGTTGCTGACAGTGCGATAGGGTAGAGGTTTGCTTAGAGACAGAAATTTAAAAGATATAGATCACTTTGTTTAAATATTTTTGAAAACAAGAGTGTTGTAAAATGATAAAAGAAAGAGATTTTCTTAACTGATCAAATTGTTATCATGACTAGCTTTTGCTTCTTTTGGGTTAATAAATATTAGATGCATTTAGGTTTTTGCATTGTGAATTTTGAATTTTCTGTTTAATTTGGATTTTCGTGTTTTGTATTTTGAATTCGAATCCTAATTTGAAAATGAATTAGGATAAATGATTGCTACCTAAACTGATGACCATGATAGAGCAAAAAATATACTGAGCCTTTTTTTTAATCTTTTTATGAGAATTCTTACAAAAAAAATCTAAAAAAAATGTGATAAAGCAACTGATTCTAAGGCAAAAAAATCTAAAAAAATGTGAGTTAAACCCGGTGTGGCACGACAAGTCTTCTTTTAGTCCAGAAAAAGATAAAATAATGATAAAAAAAAATGGTGGCAGAACAAATGAATATTAAAAAAATATGATAAAACAACTTATGGCAGGAAAAATTGATGGCAGGACAAAAAAAATATTAAAAAATGTGATAAAGCAACTGATGGTAAGGCAATAAAAATCTTGAAAAATGTGAGTTAAACCCGACGTGACACGACAAGTCTTTCGTAAGGCAAAAGAAAAAATTAAAAATACAAGCTAAACTTAACGTGGCAAGATTCTTTTAGTTCAGAAAAAGATAAAATAATAATAAAAAAATGGGTGGCAGGACCAAAAAAAAATTAAAAAATGTGATAAAACAACGTATGTTTGTAAGCTCTTTTCTTTTATTTCTCTTTTCTTTTCTGCACGTTTGCTGTCTTATTTCCTTTTCTCCTATTTTTCTTTCATTTTTAGCTTCTTTTTTTTTTTTTTTTTTGATGATCAATATTGTTTTTTCTGCAGTTACTGCTTCAACCAAAAAACTTTTGCTCATGTGTTAAAGGATGTTGGCATGTGTTATCCAAAAAAAAGAAGTATTGATTTCACATTTTTTTGTGTGCGTAAATAGTTGATCCTAACATGAATTCTCCGTTCTTTTTATGTATATAAACAATGGGCTCTTTAGGATCACTGTCAAGGGGGAATACTAGATTAACCATTTTTGTGTACTGATGATAAGGCATTTGATAATGTATTTTCTGTAAATTATATCAACTTACACAGCTTTGTAAAAATATTTGTTTCATTTTATGTTTAGTATTTATAACTCTTTGCATATTTATATGTTAAAAACATAATCTATAGTTATATTTTCGCTCCCGCAACAACGTGCGGGCAAAATTTACTAGTGGCTTTCTAAATACCTAATTAAGAAGAGTAATGCTACACTTAACACGTTTTTCGTATCACATTTGTACCACCTATCTAATAGAGATGAATCCATTAATACATCTGGATTCATCTCTATTAGAGATGAGGTACAAATATGATATGAAAAATGCGATAAGAGTAGCATTTCTGATTTAAAAATTATTGCAGGTGCCGAGGCCCAAAACCATAAACCACGGCATGCACTTAGATACGGTCAAAGCAATTTGGGTTTTTCCGCACCATATTTTGATCTACCTGATGCTCAAATTGACTCCTATTGTTGCATCAACTTACGTTACCTAAGGATAGATAAATATCCAGAGCTTTATTTTGTAGCCTAGCTAAAATGGAGTTCTCAAGTATTCATATTAGCATTTGGTTTATTTTCATGCAACCACTCTTTATTCTCTTTCTTTTTAGCTCCGCCTCCTCCTCGCGTTTAGTGGGGAATGAGGTGGATAGGCTTTCCTTGCTTGCCTTCAAAGCTGAAATCGTGACCGATACCCTGGGCATCCTTAGCTCTTGGAATGAATCCCTCCACTTCTGTCGTTGGCCAAGCATCACTTGTGGCCGCAGACACCAGAGAGTTACAGTGCTCGACCTCCAATCAAGCGGGATGGCAGGCCACCTATCTCCCCACATTAGAAACTTGAGCTTTTTGAGGACTTTATACCTCTAAAACAATAGCTTCAGCCACACCATCCCTCCAGAAAGTGGTCGTTTGTTTCGCTTGGAAAGACTACACCTTGGTAACAACTCATTCAGTGGTCATATTCCATTCAACATATCACGTTGCTCTAACCTCCAATACCTTCGCTTATATGGCAACACTCTTAGTGGCGAACTTCCAACTGAAATTGCCTCATTGTCCAAGCTTCGGGTACTTAGTTTAGGCAACAACAATTTTTACGGGAAAATCCCACCTTCTTTTGGGAATGTCTCTTCTCTTCAGATGCTAGTTGCATTTGGAAATAATCTGCATGGAGGTATCCCAAATAGCCTTGGCCAGTTGAAAAGCTGTTTAGGCCAAAAATAGTGGTTTGGGCCGAGATTTATTCTCGGCCCAAAAGACCTTACGAAAAGGTTTCCATGGATCGTTTAGTTCATGGGCTTCCTAACCTAGGTCGGCCAAATCATGCTGCGAGATGAGTAATTGAATCCTGGCACAATAAGAAGTCTCGGCAAGATATGGATATTGGTAAACCAGGAGTGAATCCGGCTTAATAAAGGACTAGGTTCAAAGTCCGTATGAAAATGGGATTGGTCGAGATATTGTTCGATCAGAATAAGAAGTCCTAATCCGAGTAGGATTTTAACTCGATCTAAAGAGGACCTGATGCTATAAATAGAAGAGGCTGCGCATCGTTCAAGCTCTTCCAATTTAACACGCAACTGCCCTGCGCAAATTCTCTCAACAACCTTGAGATTTTTTCCCCTTTCTTTTTTCGCCGATACACCTTCAGTTTGGATAAACAGCACTGTGAAGGCAACCGGTGATATCTTCAGTCGGCATAGATAGCACTGTCACCGTAGAACCAATCGGTCTCGCAACATCTTTAGTCGGCATAGATAACACTGCGTCGAAGGTGACTGGTTATCTATCCAAGTCTCGGTCGAGAAGGGTTTCCGAATCCTTATTGCTCGAGATCATCTCATTAGCCTTCTCGGTGAAGTGAGGTGTTACAGTTTATTAGGCTCGACACATTGCACGTCGAGTTAGTTTATGATTGGATACTCTCAAGTGGGATTTAGAGTTCGGAACTTCGACGGCCGAACCATGTTTATTGTTAAGACATATATACGCTTTGAGTATTTGTGCCCTTACACTTTGGTGTCGATTCGGCGTGAGTTTACTCTGAGGAATACCATCACTGTGACCGAATCCGACGACGACGATTTGAGAACTTCGTAAGAATAGTAGCCTTGTCTTCAGGTTCGAGAACCCAAGAGGCCGAGACGTGTTCCTTCCTTGGTCGCAATCGCAAGACGCAGAACTCGGCCGCGCACCCAACGCAACATCAACAAATTTTACTCCTCGGTTGACGAGTTGGCATGCCCCGTATTCAACCGAAGGATGTAGTTAGCTTACTAATTACTCGGCTTGCGTGCCATGTAGGCTTTGTGAACTTCGTAAGAATAGTAGCCTTGTCTTCAGGTTCGAGAACCCAAGAGGCTGAGACGTGTTTCTTCCTCGGTCGTAATCGCAAGAGGCAGAAGTCGGCCGCGCACCCAACGCAACATCAACAAATTTTACTCCTCGGTCGACGAGTTGGTACGCCCCGTATTCAACCGAAGGACGTAGTTAGCTTACTAATTACTCGGCCTGCGTGCCACGTAGGCTTGGTAGTTTTTCGGGTCAACATTTTGGCACGCCCAGTGGGACCCAGTGCTAAAACTACGAAGTTCATGCCAATTTAAACACGATTGGTTAAAAAGAAAACAAATATGGGAAAATCAACAATCGATTTGCCAATTCAGAACATATGACAAAGTATATCATAAGCATAGAATCCCTTTAGTGTCGTGATACCAGAGTCCACAAGCGCGACTCGTCGAGAAAAGGAAGTTGGTCTCAGCGGTCAGCTTTGCAGTTTAGAAAAACCTAACAAAAACACATGCGTTCTCAATAAAGGGATAGTAGAGTACTGTGATGAGGATGGTGGTGAAGGCTCTGATCCACCAACAAGATCGTTTCTTCGAAGATGACTTGACGAACAGTCTCGGATGTTAAACAGACGTTTAGTCGAGGAATCGATAAACTGCACGACGCGATACTCAGTACCGGTGAGGTACAAAACAGATTGCTTGAAATATTAGTTAACAAGGTCTATGACGACAGGCCATTTGATCTTTCCCGGCAATTGCCACCAAGGAATAATCTGTTGCCAATAGTACAGGCCGAGCCAATCCCTACTCGGCTTAAGCCAATTGACTTAGAGAAAAAAGGAGGATCGAGTAGGAGGATAGATGAACCCGACCAGAGAGTGGAAGTAACGTCCGTCGATATGACCGAGTCCAGCGGATGATTGATTCGGCCATGAAAAAGGGTCCGAAGTTCCCTAAATTCATCCATCCATATCCAGCTTACGTGGAACGGTTCGAATACCCTAAAGGTTTCAAAATTCCAGATTTTAGTCTTTTTGCTGGAGAATTGTCCCTATCCTCGTTAGAACATGTGGCTCGTTTCACCGCGCAATGCAGAGATGTCAATAGTGATTTTCACAAGCTGCGGCTGTTCAAGTTTTCATTGACAGGTTCAGCATTTGCATGGTATATCAACCTCCTACCTAATTCCATCCAAAGCTGGGAGGAATTGGTCGAGAGATTTCACGAGCAATTTTATCGGCTAGAGATGGAAATGTCAGTTTCCTCGTTGGCAAGGATGGCTCAGGCATCTGATGAGTCACTAATGGATTATCTTATCAAATTTAAATCGGCCAGGAATTGGTACCAAGTACCTCTCCCAGAAGTTGAGTTTGTCAGACTTGCTTTGAACGAACTCGATGTAGAATACAAAAAGAAATTTTTAAGGGCAAACTTTCGGGATATGTATGAATTAGCCCAGCATGTCGAGCAATATGACTATTTGCTCCGAGAAGAGAAAATGTCGAAACCCCCATCTCGAGGGACGATTTACAAAAACTCTACGGTCAATTACGCGTCCACCGAAGGCGAGGAATCTCAGTACGTCAGTGTGGACGCGGCCGAGATAGTGATAGATAAACCATAAGTGTGCAAGGTGTTGACTCAAATTAATTCCAAGGAGGTCAAAACCCGCTCAGCCACTGAGGAAACAGCAAAGACATCAAAAGTTTATACCTTTGATATCACAAAAGCCGAAGCCATTTTTGATCAATTGCTATCATTAAAGATCATTAAACTTCGGCCAGAGCATAATATTCCCAAGGCCGAAGAACTTAAAGGAAGGACATATTGCAAATACCATAACTCGACAAAGCATGCAACAAACAATTGTGTCATATTTTGTGATGATATCCAGAGCTGGATTGACAAAGGCAAGTTGAAGTTTCCTGAAAAATGCATGACGGTTGATACAGATCCATTCCCTTCGGCGACAGTCGGCATGGTAAAGGCATGTTTACCCAAGAGCAAAGGAAAAGAGAAGGTCGAATTTACCCCAGTACAATACATCCGAAAGCAAAGCTCCCAGCCTCGACTCAAGATCGACTTATTTTCCAACGCGCCACTGTTTGGGCCCAAAATAATAGTTTGGGCCGAGTATAGAATCATTCTCGGCCCGGAAGGCCTTGCGACTAGAATACCATGGATCGTTCAGTACGTGGGCCTCCAAACCTAGGTCGGCTAGGTCATAACGCAAGAAGTCGAGTCCTAGTGCAATGAGGAGTCTCGGCAGGACCCGGAAGCAAATCTGGCTCGATTAAGGACTAGGTTCACAATCCTAGTGAAAATAGGACTGGTCGAGTTGGTGCTGATCAGGAGAAGAAGACCTAGTCCGAGTAGGTTTTTAACTCGACCTTGGGGGGAGCCGTTGCTATAAATAGAAGAGGCTGCGCATCATTCCGGCCCCCTGCAAATCAATACAAAACTGCCATGCGCAAACTCAACAACTTGAGATTTTTTCTTTCTTTTTCGCTGACACATCTTCCGTTGGCATCAACAGCACTGTGGAAGCAACTGGTGATATCTTAAGTCGGCATAGATAGCTCTGTCACCATAGAATCAGCCGGTCTCGCAGCATCTTCCGTTGGCATCAACAGCACTGCGGCGAGGACGGTTGATTACCTATCCAAGTCTCGGTCGAGAAGGATTTCTGAATCCTTATTGGTCGAGGTCATCTCATCAGCCTTCTCGGCAAA